CTTGTAACTCATAAAATCACACCTGCCAACCACTGTCAGCCTGGTGGTCCTGAAAGTCATTCATACACACATCCCTGATGAGTTCTCCTCAGCTAACTTGTACTTGAGAGTTCCCAATTCCTAAGCTCTTTCCCTTCCTCCTTGAAGAAATGTTTAACCAGCAGATTAAAGGAACAAAGATAATGGCAAGGCCAAAAAAAGGTTAAGATCTTTAAATTGCAATAGGTTCATTTTCAGCACTTAAAATATCATTGTAGCACTATCACCAATGTATAAGTAATGAACTAAAATTTTTATTCAATATAACTGGTAAAGGTATGGTTTACACCACTTTTAAATTGTCAATATGATTCTTTACTATATTTGAAGAGGATTAACTTGAAAAGATAGTCCTTACATCAAACCACCCACCTTAGAATTAATATTGACAGATGAAACAAAAGACAAAAGAGCACAAAACATGAATGAAAAATGACTTCTTTTTTTAAATTTAGAATCTCCCTTTTTTTGTTGGTTTGTTGGTGTTGGTGAGTGTTTTTGAGACAAGGTCTTGCTATGTAGTTCAGGCTGCCCTTGAACTCACTTTGTAGCCCAGGCTGGCCTCGAACTCACGGCAGTCCTCCCTCTTCAGCCTCCTGAGTGTTAGGATTACAGGTGTGTGCCACCAAAATTGAATTAAATAAAATAAAACTTTAAAATGTTGCTAAATAATAAATGCCACAGACTAAGTTAAAGGGCAGTACACCACTCAAGCAATTTCCCAACACAAAGGAATCAATAAAGTCAATAAGAAAGAGCAAAACAAATCAATAATAACTGTAAGCAAATAATCCAAACATGCAATTCCCAGAACAAATTCATCATCCACTAAACACAAAAAGAGGTATAACCTCACTAGTAATCAAAGAACATGCAAATTAAACACCAAAGGGGCTACCACAATTTCACTCCTGTCGTGGGTAAGAAATGCTGTAGTGTAATATTACCAAGTGTCAGACTACACCACGACCGGCACTCCTGTGCGTGGCTGGTAGGAGTGTGAACTCACAGCACTGCTTTGGTAAGCAGTTTAGCGCTAGCTAGTAGCTTCAGAATGGAAACCACCTGTGCCCGGGCTTCCACAAGTGTGCCTTGTCTATCAGGGCAGCACTTTCCAGAGTGTGGCTGCTGATGAGCTATAACAGCAGATCCGAGAGCTCGTTAGAAGCCCATACTCTGCAGCCCCAGCCCAGACCTACTGACTTGACTTAGAGTGGGTTTTAGGAGTGCTCCAGCACATTATGATAATACTAACTTTCAGAGATAATAGAGAAACTTTTTGCTTGCTCAGATAGTAGACTGTACCAGGATACCAGGATTGTGGTCCTTGATGCATTCTCTAGGAAGGGTGGTAAGAAAGACTTGGTCAGGGAACAGTATGGGAACAGTTTGACTTCCTCAAGAGCATACATTTGCATATACATGCATAAAAATAAAAGCTTACAAAATATTTAAATAAAAATGTATAAAAATAAAGCAGTAAAAGCCAGCATCAGAGTGGGTACAATCACACATTATACAGCAGTTAAATGAGTAAGGGATGGCCATGTAGCTCATTAGTAGGGTGCTTGCCTAGTATATGTGAGGCCCTGGATTCAACTTCCAATACTACAAAATAAAAGCAGTGGTGTAGACATACACGCATCAACAAGCACAAATCTGGAAAAGAGAATGAATGAATGAAAAAAGCAAACTGCAGAATAACAAGTATAGTATGATACCACTTAACATTAAGTTAAAATCTCATCCAAAAGAAACTGTCTTGATTATTGATAAATAAATAGAGACCTGGATGAAAGCATTAAGGATATGGGGCTAAGAAGTGGATCCCTGTACTGAGATCACGGTCTCTGTGGGCAAGAAAGGAGACTGGATGAAGGGGAAATTCGGAGAAAACATCAACTGAGGGCAGAGGAGTAACATCTGGTAACTCTGAGTTGGGATAAAGACATTGTATATGTTCTTTGCACTGTCCTGCATATTTGAACTATTTCATAGTACTTTTAAAAGTTAAAAGAAGTATAGATGGCCCCTGACTTACAACAGCTTGCCCAGAATTTTTTGATTTCATGAAGGTGGAAAAGTGGTAAATACGAGTAATAACCATTCTCCACATTTGAATTTTGATCTTTTCCTTGGCTAGTAATGTGCAGTCACTTTCTTGACAGTGGGCAGAGTCAGAGAGCTGCCACTCCATCATGAGGGGAAACAACCAGCCCTCTATAGCACCCTGTGTTGACTCTGGATACTGTGTTTTCTGTTTTCACCCACACCCTTATCTACAAAACGCCCATCTGTGTCTCCTGCTTCTGGTGAAAGAAAAGGAAGGCAGTTACTCTGGAGAGGGACTGAAGCAAATTGCCTGGTATGGAAGCCACATGCCAACATTGACCATCACACATGTGAATTAGGGCTTTGAACATAAATATCTCAACTATCTTAAAGCATAAGGTGCCAAAGCTTTTATTAAGGAAGAGATGCATATGGTAATTGTGGGTGAGAAGTATTATAAACAAAAAGCTTAATGGTGAAGAAATCACCATATATTATGGAAACATATGACATAGCACAAATACATTCCCCAAGACAATGCAGGATCCAAGGCATTCAAAGATTGTGTGATGCTACTCCGGGGTAGAAATGTTGCACACTGAAAATAAAGCCTTTCTTATCTACTGCCCAGAGAACCTTAGAGCATTCAAGACTGTGAGCAAGCATTCACTTCCCACTTGTTATTACCCTAGCAAGAAAGCCTGGATGACATCATCGTTTGAAGACTGGTTGTCTTGGTAACTTTCTGAGAAAAGACAAAGCAAGCCCAAGAGGGAAGCCAAGGAGAGCAAAACCAGCCCAAGAGAGAAGCCATGAGGGCTACAACCACTGGTAAGGTCTTCGGGGAAGGGCCACTCAAACCATTTGGAGTTTACGTCTTATCACGACTCACCCCTGGTGCTGGACAAGAGTTCGTTTGCTCTGCTGGGTTTTTGTCTTACTTTGATCTGATGCCCTGTGCTACCATATGTTGGAAGTGGTTATTTTTTTTTTTAACTTCCTTTTGACTTTACAAGGATCACAGCTAAAAGTTTAAGTCTCAGAACAGACTTTGGACTTGAATTTTTCAGCAATGTTGACACTTAGGACTCTGGCAACTCTTAGAGATGAACTAAGTCCATTTTGCATAAAGGGATACACATGAGTCTTTGCGGGGCCAGGGGTAACATGTTATGGTTTATAGCTAGATGTCTCTCAAGAGCTTCACAGGTGGAGTTTTTGGAAAGTGACTGGATTATGGAGCTTTACAAATGACTTGTTCCTAGGAAGCTGAACCTTGTCAGAAGAGCTGGCCACTGGGGCTGGGACCTACATTATTTCCTTTCCAGGCTCCTCCCTTCACTCTCTGCTTCCCCACAGCCATTGTGTGGGCAGCACTCCCCTGCCAGGCCCCTCTACCATGCTGCCCTGTCTCGGAGCCAGCCAACCATGGACTGAAACTCTACGAATGTTGAGCCCAAATAAACCTTTCCTCCTGTAAGCTACGGGTGTTGGATGTGACATCTCGCAGTGAGAAAGTGATACAGACAAGGTCTGCCTCCTAACAGCACATTCAGCTATGATCCAGATGAGCACAGTGGCCCCATGACCCAGTCATCTCCCACACACATGAGAATTCTGGAGGACATTTTAGAGGTAAACCACAACATTAGTATCACTGGAGCTTTGTGTTACATTATATGATTTTTCTAACTGTGGACAAATGTTAAGTATTCTCACCATGTTTACAGTAGACTGGGATGAGTTATGATGCTCTTCAGATTAACTGTATTAAGTACATTTTCAACTTATGATTTTTTTCAACTTACTGTGGGTTTATGAGGTTATCATGCCATCAAAAGTCAAGGAGCAGCAGCAGTTCCTCATCCTTATGAATACTAGAAACTTTATTTCTGTGTAAGAACAAATCTTTCAAAATGACTACCTCAAGAATTTTTTAAAACTTGAATCTTTGTGACATCTAGTGGTAGCATAAATTGCTACGATTTAAAACACAATCAGAAAAAATTTGATTCAATGCACTAATACCTGTATTTTTTGTTTAATTTGGTTTTCAAAAGCTTCTGCTTCTAGATGCTTTTTAAATAATCCTTAGCTTTTGTTGTTTTTGGTGCTCTAAAACAGAAAAGATTCATACCATGGACTCGGATTTAGAAAGAAGTGAAGTGAAGTTCTCCAGAGGACACAGGATGTACCTGAAATGTTCAAGAATCTGAGAGTACAGAACCCACATCTAGTGAAATCTGCCCTTCAACCCCTGTCCAGCACTTGGCCCCAGATTAACATGGAAGAAATGATGCCACTCAGTACCCCGAGACTTTCTTTGGTTCCCATTCAACTTACTCTGTGTGGCCACTCCCTACAACATCACTGGGTGTCATAACCCCAAAGAGAAAGGCAGGAGCTGGACACCCAGCTTGGCAGAGAGGTGAGTTCCTATATCTGCTCTTGAGGGAGGACAATGAGCCAAGCATGAGGAAGCTCTGCAGGAGGACAGCAGAGAACACTCCTTCCCCATCAAAGTCACATCACGGAAGTGCAGAGCACAGGTACCCCAGCGCATCACCTTCCAGAAGATGCAGAAGCCCTGAAACAACTCCTAGAAGGAATCGCCCCTTCTAAGGCAGGTCAGGAAGGTGGCTCCCTCCACCCTAGCAGCCCAGTGAGCCTCCTCCTGGGCCATCATGTTCTGCACTGATGCACACATTCTTTGAGCTCATCTCTTGCCTCCACTGGTTGCTTCAGAAACTCTTTCTTCTTTTTGCCTGATGAAGTCATATAAATAACCTTGTGTTTGGGATCCAAACAATATTTAAAGTTACTTCTAAACCCCTATACAGTCTTCTTTAAAAGGGGAGGGGAAGTAGAGTTCAAAATTGGAGGGAAAAAATACAAACCAGAGGTTGTGATTTGAAAGTTGAAACAAGCAGAGAAATTTATTGATCTTAGGTTGGTTGATCCTACAAATACTGGTCAATGTTTAGTGCAACCTAAAGGCAAAATAAAAAGTAAATATACCTTAATACAATGAAAACTGTGAATGGCTACAAGTCAACAAAAATAAGAGTGCAAGTAATTTCTATGTGACTATGTAAATAAACTTTTTGAGTTTCAGGTGATGTCTAAGAATATCCAAAGAGAATAAAGTCACCAATTACGTTTGTAAGGTATTTACTATCCCATCCCTCCCTTCATTTTCTCTTCCCTTCACATCCCTCTTGTGGGGGTCCTCTTCCTGTGGCCACCCTTCAGGTGTGGGTTCTAGTGGCTTCTCCCTGAGCCCACTGACCTTCCCTTCCTGCTTTCCTAGGTGCCCAGCTCACTCCCCTCACTCATTAGCACAGATGCCCCCAGCTGCTGAATTCAAACTTCCTGCCAGGGCCTCTTTCCCATCCTCTAGACCCACACCAATCATCCCGTGCTCTTCTGCCACTTGGTCCTGCACATCTCAGAATTACCTGGAATTTGGCCTCTCCATAGGTGAAGCCCTGTGTCCAAATGCTCTCCTTCCTCTTCCTATGTTCATCACCCACCAAACAGTAGCACTGTTGCCCCAGGAAGGAGTTTGGTTTCATTCTTGATGCTACCTCGCTCTTTTCCACAGGGTCAATCTCAAGCACTCAGGTCTGATCTCCACCGTCTAACCCTGCGCATCTGCCATCTGACGACTACAGTAGTCCCTTGTTCACATCTGCACCACTCTAATTCTCCTCCATCTTAGGAAAACACAGATTGAACCCCTAAAGCCTTTCAGGAATTCCCACTGTGCTGAAGTCCAAACTCCCCAACATGACCACAACCGCCCCCCATGACCTGCCCTCCCCAAATCTAATCTCACCATCCTCCTGGCTCCATATGAACCAGGCACAGTACTGCACCACTTCCCCCCTTGGCAGCAGCCTGCCCTCCTCCATCCTCTGGGCTTGTCTTGGTTCCTTTTCTCTTGTTGGTGAGACAAAATGCCCAATGCCCAGAGTTAAGGAAGGAAAGGTTTGTTTAGCTCACACTTTGTGGAGGTTTCAGCCTATAATCAGCGGGCTCAAAGGCAGGGTGGCAGCGCACGGGGCAACACTTCAAGGCAGCACAAGACAGCAAAAGCAACAAGAGCAAAAGGGGCGGGGGTGGTAACAAGCCTCTTTCCCTCCCTTATATTGTAAGCAGGCTACCCCCACCCAGCGGCCAGGCAGCACTCACATAATCTCCACACCCTCCTCCTGCACAGGCTCAGGATGATACAAAGTAAGGACCCGGCCCGGCTCAGTCACTTAATTACTCTTCTAAACTTCTCACACTGATACAATGGACAACATCCCAGAGCAGGAAGGGCTGGTCCTTTTCATCCCAGGATGCAGAACTGCTGAGTCACTCAGCCAAGCCTCTAGCCCCCAGTTGACAATGTATCAACCATAACAGGGCTCATCTCAGGCTGTCCTTGAACTTCACTTCCACAGGAAGACTTGCCCAGACAGGTTCGGGTCTCTTTGCCTAACCCTCAGAGCACTTTCCTACTGGCTCATGGCCCCCACTGGAAGATGTTTTGTTCCTGGTGACTTACTACCTCCTGCAGTGTAAAGTCTTCCCAGATATTTAATAAAAATGTATCCACAGAGTCCTTCCAGCCAGGTCCTGAACAGCTCTTGAAAACATCCTTCACATCAGACCCCCAATGTTTTGTTCATCTAGGTTACTTCAGATTTCTACCAAAGCTCCTACCTGGCCTCCTTACGCCTATGTCCCTATTCTTTTCCCTACACTAGGCAGTGTAATCAAACCATATGGTTAAAATTTAAATTTTTAAAAATTACAGTTAAAGATATATGGCCATTAATCCTCTGAAAATATCCCCTCTCACACGGAACACATTTATCTCACTGGTCTTGCCACTTTCTGAAGTAGTTCTGAAAGTCTTCTTCATCAAAGTACAGTGAATGCAGCCACCAAGTGCCATCCTGAGGAGAGGCAGCTCATACAAATGTTAGGCTGTGTCCTTACCCATCTTATTCACTAGATCTGGTACCATGCAGCTTGTGGTTGTTTCTTAAAGTCAAAATGACCATGAAAGCTAAATGTTTTCAATCAGTTCAGGACATTGAAGCAGCCACAATACCACTACTCATGACATTCATGAAAGAGGACTTCCAGAAGTGCTTCAGAAAGTGGCAAGAATGATGGGATGTGCTTTGAAACAAGGGGGAGGATTCTGAAGGGAGATTCACAACAATGTGTCTTATATAACAATGTTTTCAATTAGAACATTCACCATATTTTCTGAGCATACCTTGTATAGTCAGGTCTTTCTGTTCTCAGTTCCCATCTTATCAGTCTCCGCTGCCTGCAAGACCAAGTTTAAATGTCTGAGTACGAATTAAAAGTCCTTTTCCTGAGCTCTCCCTGCCTCACCGCTCATCCTTCACATGTCTCCTCCTGACTCTAAACTCTCTTCTACTGGGTCTTCATACTGCTCGGTGTTTCTGCCAGGAGCATTTCCTCAGCCTCCCACCCCGCCCCAATAACAACTCACCAATGTTCTTCCAGAGCCTTATTTGATCATAGCTTTTCAACTGTGTTCCTATCCCATCTTAGTACACAGGGATTAAAGGGACCCAATGTGCCCTTCTGCCATGATGGTGCCGGTCCATACCTGCTAATCTGGCGTAGTTATTAATAGCTCCCCCTCTCTTTCTCAAAACCACACTTGTTTGGACAATAAAATACCTTGTCGTTCTTACCATGAATATGAAAGGTTGGTCAGATTGTCTGTTTCTCCCTTGGACAGTAAACTTCACAAGGTCAAACTATGTGTCTTATTCATAACTACATCTGGTCCAGTGCCCAGCACACCAAAAACATGAAGTTCATGGTAAAAAAATGTACTTATACACTGTACAAGCACGTACTCTCATTGGGGTATGGGATATATGTGGTTTCAGGGTTTGGTATTGAGAAACAATATGGTACCCTCAAAATTTGTATTTCACAAAATTATTTTACAGGGAAGACATTTTGGTATTTTGAGGACATCTTGATATTTTCAATCTAACTCCAAAACACACAGATACAGATGATACAGATGTAGGTACAGAGACAGACAGAAAGAGATGAGGATGCAGATTTGCCAGTGACCACTTCAGGAGAGGGCAGCATGCACAATGATGTTATACTTAGAGCCAACAAAACTGGTTTTCTCCCTCTGAAGAAAAGATTCATTTCCCAACCAACTTTGGCCTCTTATATACTCAGCTTTCACAAAGTAAAAAAAAAAAAAAAATCTTTTTTTACAAAGTATTTTGATACTTACATCAAGTATCATTGGTTCATCAACTTCTTCCACTCTGCTCAAGTTAGGCGCCCCATATCGGTCACTAATTTCTGCTAGTGTTTTGCCTGCCTCTTGGGCCCCTTCCTACAATCACAGAATTCATTTTTACTTGTATATGACTTCAAAGTTAATAAATTACTTTTCTTTCAATTTTGATATAATATCTGGAAACAGCAAAATTCAAAACTGTCAATGGAATTAATTAATATCTGTAAATGAACAGAGATTTGTAGTAGTAAGTGATGAAATTTATTTTAAAAATACATTCAGAAACTTAAACTGTATGATTTGCAAGTAATTCTGTGGCCAATAGCTCAGCACACTCTAGCTTCTAAAAATACAAACACTGAATCAGTTTTTACCCATTTTAAGATTTTGCCTACCCCGAAACATACACTTGGACAATTGCTTTGACCATACTCTTATTAAAACTTTGTCTACTGATGCATAAAAATTAAGCTTTATATTCTAGGATCCTCATTTATTTCACATAACAGAATATCTTTTTCGGGGGCTGGGGATTTAGCTCAGCAGCAAAAGCGCCTGCCTGGCAAGCGCAAGGTCGTGAGTTTGGTTCCCGGTACCGGAGAAAAACCAAAAAAAAAAAAAAGAATATCTTTTTCTTCTCACCTCTGAATGCAAAGCATCTTCATCCTTGGCTATATTCTCCATATTCATTCTCATCTCCTAGAGCATATAAAAGAAAATAACTATACTTCATTTTCACTCCAAGTTTAATTTGTAAGCAGTTTATTTTTAAGGAATGTTTTGATTAACAGCAAAAATGCTGTACACTTTAAGGAGTGATCTGAATACACTTAACCCAAAATTGCAGATCATAGTTTAATACTCCATACTAGTAGAAGATAACTGGATTTTGTTTATAATTAAATAATTTTTAAAAAGTAAAACAGACTGAAATATTAAAGTTGAAGTAAAATTATTAGGGAATATGACAGGGGACAAAATAAAAGTTCTAATACAAACTTATAACCAATGAGATTTTACAGAGAAGTTGCAGTTAACTAGAATTTTATGCACATAAAGTAGTAAATATTTCTGAAGGAAATTAATTAAAAGTTTCTGAAGGAATTAATTTTGTGAGAGTTACCATCTGATGCCACAGCCTTCTCTTAGCAACACTGTCAGGGGTGTTCTGAATGCTATTACAGCCCAGCAGAGGAGGCCTCTTTCTGAAGGGGAAATGTGCTTGAACTCAGCCAACCCTTGCTGTAACAGGCAACATTTCATTCTCAGGCAGCAGGTAACCTAGCAGGTGCTGAGCAGACTCAGTTGCAAGACTAATGATCTCATGGCCATACACAGGGTCATCCTGCCTATGGGGATGCGCCTGCTACTATTTTCCAAAGTCTACTCCATTCTCCTGGGAACTTCTTATCCTGCACCCTTATGCATACCTTTTCTCTGTTCTTCCTTGATCACAATTCCCAGTCCTAGAGATAGATAACACAGACTAAGCCAGTCAGAATCCTTCCTCAAAATTCTTGTCTTAACTGAAACCAAAAAAAAGTAATCCATTCCTCTAGGATGTTCGGAGCCATAGCATGAAGCTCGGGACCATTAAGGACCATGTTGCTCAGTGCTGTGTGCACACAGACCTTCAGGAGAGACCCAAGCAAACAATCAGAGAACAGCAGAGGCCGGGCCCACAGCATCGAGCTCTCCTGCCGCCACGGTCTGGAAGGTCCCAGTGTCCCTGCCTCCTGCTGCACAGTTCAGTAGTTCAGGAGTTATGTGCCTTCTTCGATTCAGGGCTCTTCCAATCCCTTTCCTTTGAGAATGGTAGTTCAAATTGTGCATCTACAGCCACAAAGGCAGCCAGGGCAAAGGACATGAATGCACTGGTCTCTGAGCAAGGGGTGAGGCTGGGATACTGCGGTGGGGGCGGGGGAGGGTGACAGCCCAGCGGGGAGGTAGCTGGAAGTTACTGTGCTTCTGGTCACTCAGGCTGAAGAAAGTAAAATGTCCCAGGTATGACCCTGTGGAGTCACAGAACTGGGACAGCAACTTTCAAACACTCAAATAGAGCTGTCAAATCACCTCAGCGGGGGGGAAAAAAAATCTTATTTTGATCTTTACATTCTTTCATTTTTTAATCACTGACACAGCTAAAATGCAATACATGCTTACATACATGTGTGCACATGTACACATCCAGGTGCTACTGCTACACAGACTAACAGGAAGTCAGCATCTGTGTTTTTAAAACTATGTAAAAGTATTTGAATTTATGCTTTAAAGTTCCATCTTTTTATTCAGCTCACTTTTTAAAACTTACTTTGAATAACTCTGCTCTCATCCAAGTCCTTAATAAACACAACAAACATATTCTATAAAACCTGTTTCTAGTCTCCACTTGATTATGGGACACATAAGGAGAGAAAGAGGGGAGTGAGAGACAGCAGTGTCACCTCAGTCAGCCAGGAGTTTGGCATGTATCATACACACGCTTCAGCTTCAGGAAATGTTGGTCAAGTGGAAATGGGACACCACATAGACATAATCAGTGAATACAGCTTTTCTTGTATTAAGTCACTGCATAGTTTAATAAAAGATATGAAAATGCCTTTTGAAAATGTGAACTGTTATTACCTAACATGAAGAAAAGAGACAGAGTGGTGTTTCAAAGATCAAAACACCCTCAATATCACAAAGAATTTAACCTGCAACCATAATGAGGAAAAGCTAGCTCATGACTAAAATGCTGACAGAGTCCCAACTGGAGAACTTTCCTGCTCACAAAGCAGTTTCACTTGTGTGATTTGCACTTGGTCCTCACAGCAATCCAATGATTGATCCTCACTGCTATCCTTATCTCTGAAACAGGTAGCTGGGACTGAAAATGTTACAAAACTTGTTTAAGGGGCTGGGGATTTAGCTCAGCGGCAAAGCGCCTGCCTGGCAAGCGCAAGGTCGTGAGTTCGGTTCCCGGTACGAGAGAAAAACAAAACAAAACAAAAAAAAACTTGTTTAAGTCACACAGCTAATATGTGGCAGACCTGTAGACTATGAATCAAATGGTCTTTCTACTATGATAACCAGAAAAAACTTTGAGAATTCTAAAAGGTTTTAAACAAGCAGACATAAAAGCAAATTACCTGGTCTAATTGTTCATGTGCTCGCTCAAGCTCTTCTATTCTCTGTCTCTCTCTTTCTTGCATTTCCAGCTCCAGCTGCAATGCCAGCTGCTCCTGAATATTCAGAAATATATATGCCATATTGCAGACAGATTAATTGGGAGGGATTAATTCTGCTGCTTCTAAATGCCCCATGACCATTTTACTGATACTCACCTAAATTTCAGAAACTTAAATAAATGGTCACTGCCACATAACACTTAGGCTTCTACAAATATTTCTTAAAGTATAAAATAAAAAGGAAGCATCCTTAATTGCTAATTGTAGAAAGCACAGTCTGTACAAAATCAAGTCATTTTCTCTGTTTTCCTTGAAACGACAAATGAGACTGCAGTGTATTCAGGTAAAATCTCTTTAAGCATAGATGGGTCTTCAGATAACCAATCCTTGGATGCAAAACAGTGGGTGAGAAAAAATTTGAGACTCCTATCTGAAACCACGGGTAGATGGCAATATATTTGGTCCCAACTCCACACAGTTGTCACATTAGAATAGGGTCAGTAATACATCCTGTGGGCCAAATCTGATCCCTTTCTGCTTTGTTCAGTTCGTGAGCTAAGAATGGTTTTCACATTTTTAAAACGACTGAAGAAAATCAAAAGGATAATATTTCATGGTGCATCTAATGGTATGAAATTCACATTTCAGCATCTGCCAATAAAGTTTAATTGGAACACAGTCATGTTCATTTAATTAAATGTTTTGTGAGGGTTTTGCCCTGCAACAGCAGTGTAGCAGCTGCAACAGACTATAGGTGGCACTCGTCGCATGACAGGGCTGCTCAGCACCCTGTAAGTCACAGGACAATACTGTAACTCAATAGTCTTGGTAGTGTCACAGTGTCACCATACTGTGACTTTTTAAAAAATTATATACTGTACTTCATGGCAAAGAAAAGAATGAACTTCAAGTGTCCTACTTTTAAGGCACAATGGAATGAGAATTATTTTTATTATCAAATAAAATGGCAAAATATAGTTTTTAGTACACAATGCCTCTCTGCTAAAAAAAAAAATATACATACATATAAATAGATAGATAGATAGTAAGCATTAACATTACTACTCTAAGCATTTATCTCAATACCATCAACTCACATAAATGTATAGGTCAGGAAATTAGCAAACTTAAAACAGAATTATCTCATCACAGCAAAATTTCTCCACAAAAGTTAAAAATGAAAATAAGATGGCAACAAATGTAAGTTTGCAGGTAACTCATTTTTCACCTAAATAAGGCAAGGCATCTGCCACTGGGGAGTTTGATTAAAACATTTGATTGCAGTGGCCAGGAACATGTGTCTAGAAATAAAAATAACTTTGGTTGCATTAGGAACCTTTCCATGAGAACAGGTGGAGAAAGAGTAGACATCGCGAGCAACAGCCACAGTCCGTTCGGAAAAAGACAAATTTCCCTTAGCTGCTGGACCCAGTGCTGCTCAGCGATTTATTTGGACAGTCACCCCTGAGTTAGAAGTGACAGAAACATGGGGGAGCCACTGTCTCGGCCTCCAGCTTGCAGACGGGAGGCACTGAGAGATCGCTTTTCCCTGTGTCCCAGCTTCACTCCCACCTCAGCCCTTCTCTGCTGATCTCTTTACCTCTTTCTTCTTCTATCTCTTTCTGCCAACCCACTTCCTGAACTGACCATAAAATCTTCTTCAGGACAGTATTCTATATTCCACCTCTCAATACAATGCCTTGAGTGCAATGCACAAATTAATTATACTAGACAACAGGATAAGGCTAGAGAAATGCCCACTATGTCCAGCTTTCATTTCTAGTACTGCCAAATTTTATCTAAGTAAAATAAAAGTTAATGGAGCAAAGAGAGTTAAGAGTCTTCCCATTGGGATGTAATTGCTCTGAAGAAAGAGAGTTGCTGAGAATTTTTTTTCTAATAGACAGGGGACAGGTTTGAGCTGGAGGAGTTGTAAGAGGCAGGATGGATCTCACTCAAGGTTGCAGCAGGAGATACCTTGCCTGTCTAGCTGACAGTCTGACACCCAACTCAACATGCACCAACTTCCCTGGAGAATGAGCCAAATAACTAACTGACAGTAAAGACTAAATAGCAGCCAAGTTTTCAACAGCCTTATCCATCCTAGGCACCTTAGTACCTAGAATTTTCCACCTCAGTCTCAATGATAGTATATTAATCATAGCCACTATGTGCTAGGTCTATATCTTTCTTTTTTTCCATACCTCCAAATAGTAGGCTTCTTTCCTTTTTATAAATGTGTAGGCTTGAATGGAGACGCTATGCTATGGTAGAACTATAACAGTGACCTCCATTTAAGTCAGAAATTCTCTATCAACTAAGTTACTAAGTCTCTATAAATTAAGTAAATTAAGGAACTGTCCCTTATCCAATATAAACGGCAGAACCTATCCCTCTGATTCTTTCCCTATGAACACCTTCAGCTGCCCAGTCCTGCTGCCCAGTTCTTTACTCTGGTCAAAAGGTCTGGCCTGCCTCAAGCACGTTTTCTCTCAGATACCTAGGTCTATGTAGGGGAAAAAACACACAATCACACAACCAGACAAACGATTATGAGTGCCTTATCTTCAGTTGCTTCAAGCTGAGTATCCCTTATCCAAAATGCTTGGGACCAGAAGTACTTCAGATTTTGAAACTGGGAGGAGAGGAGATATTTCATGTAGATGATGAGGTTTCCCAGGGATGGGAACTGAGTTTAAACATGAAATTTGGCACAAGAGTAAAGTCCAGTGTGTTTCACATATTCTTTATACACTTAACCTGAAGGCAATTTATACTTTATTTTTAATAATTTTGCATATGAAATAAAGTTTAATTATATGGAACATTCTACTTGATTTGTGCCGACACGTAAGAATTTTAAGACTGTGGAGCATTTTGGATTTAGAGATTTTTCGAGTTGCAGATGTTCAACCTAAAATGCCTTGGTCAATTCTCCCTTCCACTCCCCAAAGCCACCACTGAAAATCTTCACCACTTTCCTCATCCTTCCTACCTCACCCCTCAATCTTGTGGATATCAGGGTCCCCGATTCCTAAAGAAGACTGCAATGAGTTTGTGCCATGAGACCTACGCTTTCACAGGTACCTAAGCCATCCTCTCTTCCATCTCTCAGTTACAACCAAACAAAGACCCTGCCACCTTCCATGTTCCTAACCTGTGTCCAGACCTCATTTCCTCTGTGCTTGTGAAAAGCTGACTCTACGAATCATCCTCTTTATTTCCCAATGTCACCCATTCCTCAAGCCCATCCAAAGGAGATAAGGTTTAGATCCATTGATTTCAGTAGAGCCCCAACCTACTGACTATTAAAATGATCCTCCTAAGCCATGAAAGCCATATTTCACAGAAAATCTCAATAGGCTACCTCTTTTAAGAAACAGAAACAGCTCTTTTTCCACTCAGTCTTCCTTCTGCTCCCTCACCATCTCCCCTGCTCCCTCCCGCAACACCCTCACCACTGGGTGAGCTTGTCTCTGCATGAACACCCTCTCCCTGGGGCCTCTGTCACAGGACACTCGGGTTTTCTTCTTACCCCAACACAGTGCTTCGGCACATGTAGATGAAGATGAGGAGAGGACAGAGCCATACCCACGTGACCAGAGCTAGGGCGTTTTCAGCATCTGGGCTGCATGCCCTGAGGCTGGCAAGGCTAATTCCAGGGTCCCCTGAACCCTCCCTTCCATGCCTCACCTGCTGAAACAAGAGCTCCTCCGCTCTGAGCCTCTCCAACAATTCCTGCTCCGCCAGCGCCACTGCTCGTTCATGCTCCAGCTGAGCCATTTCCTCCTGTCTCTAGTGTTGTTCAAAAACAATACTGCATGACCCATCAGAGACCAAACCATCTGTGAAAGCAACCTTAAAAGCATCTTAATCACCAGTAACAGGAAAAGCAAATGATAAGCTATAATTTATGCAAATTAGTCTATCCATTTGAAATTACACAATTGTTTGGGAAGATATGCATTTTATCTGAAAAAAAACAAGCACAAAATTAGAAGTATACTTTGAGCCAGGGGTATATAGCTCAGTGGCATGGTGCCTGCCTGGCAAGCGCAAGGTCCTCAGTTCGATTCTTGGTACCAAAAAAAGTATACTTTGAGTATGACTAATGAGCATGTGAAAAGAAATGTTACAAATGTGTAGGAAAAAGACCACACAGAAGAAAATTTCTAAAATATCTAAATAGTCTTCTTTGGGTTTTTTTCACCTTTCTACTTTTTATGTTGTCTAAGTTTTTGTACAACAAACATTATTGTTCTAACAGAAAGGATATAGAACAAGGCAAATGTGTTAAACCATTATTTTCTTTGGATTTCCTACAAGGAAACTATACTTACCAGCTGTTCCATAGTTGCATTTTCCTTATACTTGTAAATCCACAGAGCTAAATATTCTATTGGATCCATGGGGTGAACTCTTGCCACTTCTGCAAGACCCTGAGTTAGGCACGTCCCCAACTGCTTTTGAAGATAGGCCGATTCCATTTCTAACTTTTAAATAAAACCCTTTAAAAAAATAACCATTTTGCATTAGTTCAGGAGGTTTTTAATTTAGGCACAATAAGAGTAACGTCCATTGAGACAAACAAAGCATCACCAGCCATGGCACAAGTAAGCTGGCCCAGGAATCTTCAGTTTCCAATAGGGCCTCTTGGAAGTTTAAAAGTTAAAATAGTTTCAAACTCCAGAAGGACTCTCAGGTCCAGTCCAAGAGAGAAAGGGGTGCTAGATAACTGCAATATGACTTTGTGCCAAGCAACACGTATGTCATTTCACCCTCACAGCACACCTGAAGAAATAGGCACCATGGTCCCTGCTGTGCCCACAAGCAATTGCAGGCAAAGAGCCTGATTTCTGAAGGAACAAACCAGGACACACAGCTGGCAGATGAAGCAGACCGGGTTTGGATGCCTCTCTCGATCCAGAGCCCTGGCTTAAGGACTCTACTGAGATCTTCCTCCTAAGCATGTAAGCCCTGTTTACAAACCACCTCTTTTTATAAATCTATGCATTTCCAAGGTCAAAGAATAAAAATTCAGCTGCTACAGACAACCTGTGAGGCTGCTCAGGATCCAGCTCCCAGTTCCTTTTGGATTCACCTGCAGCAATCTCCCCTGTCCCCAGCACACTGTGGCACTCCCATCCCACAGAACAGCCCACCATTCTGCTGATCCACCTTGCACTGGGCCAACTCTGTCATTCTCACACATCATGATGATCCCACCCTCACCTTCTACTTGGAAAGTTCTCCTCCCCTGCCATACAGAGACCATTTCTCCTTCCCCGAGTTTCTCCAGGTACCTCAGGGTAGTGTGTCCTCTAAACACCTCACACAGTCCAGATCCTGCTGGTTGAGAAGTGTGTGCATATGCATGCGTGCGTGCATGTATGTGTGTGTGTGTGTGTGTGTATTTGTGCACATGTGCACGCACCCGTGCCTGTTTTCCCTTACGGATACTATCTCTTCTATATTCTTGAGGAGTGTTTCCATCACTGTACTAACACAGATGTCTCTCCATAGTGGCAGGTGAGTGAGTTTCTGCACTTTCCCAGTTAACACCCTTGCCTTTTGCAGTTATAAAGACAAACAACAACAATCTTAGACCAGCTTTTTGAAAAAAATGTAACAACTTTATCTCGTGTTCTTTGAAAACACAGTTGATCACTTCCAAATTACCCTTAATATTTTATGAAATCCAGACTCTTCTGAGCTTCTGATGCAATGTTTTAATTACTCAACAGAAATACACTGAGTAGCTATATAAGCTACTACAGTAGATAGGTACTAGGAATGCAAAACTCTCACTGACTGAATGCTTGTGCCACCCCCATTCATAGGTTAATGTCCTAACTCCCACTGTGACAGCAGCATTAGGCAGTAGGGCCATTGGGAGATAATTAGGTCATGAGGATGGAGCCTTCATGAATGGGATTAGTGCCCTTATAAGAAGAGAGGAAGAGGTTCCCCCTATTTTTTTTCCACTACCTCAGCCATGTAAAAACTAGGAAGTGGGCTCTTAACAGATACCACACATTGTGGAGGACCACGTAGGTGACTCTCCTTGAAAGAGGAGCAATTGCCTCCATTTTGGCTGAGCCTAACCCTATTTCCATGTATTGACATGTACAGAGCTGGCTCAAACCCTTTCCTTATCCCTTCAGTTGCCTTTAAGCAATGCATATCGCTTAGGTGCTGATGGTAGTCTTTGGAGATGGCAGGCATGTTTCCCCAGACCTCCCGTTGTTCCCATGAATGAGCCAGGATGAGGCAGGATGTGTGAACCAATCCTCCACGCTGTCAGCTGGGATTGAGCCTTCAAAGTAGAGGCTATGACTACCTGGGGCTTCAAATATTACACATCAGAGCTGAAGCACCAACCTCAAAATATTAGATACTATCTCAATTATGTTACGCAGATTACTGCATGTCCTTCTCTCTGCATATGGCAAAGGTGATTTCAGGCCTCCTACCTAGCCAGCCCATGACACTCACCTACTTCCCACGGTTCTCACAGTCACTCATCCTCAAGCCACTCCCTTCTTCATGAATGAATAAAACTCACTCATCCTCAAGCCACTACCTTCTTCATGAATGAATAAAACCTGGGTTTGGCCGTGGGTCAAGGACTTTGTTCCGGGTAGCCATCATCATGGCTGGACTTAGGACCCCTTGGCTCCCCATAACTACAAAAATGCTTTAGTACCTTTATTCTTGCCATGGGTTGCACTGGAAGTGGTAGATTGGAATTAAGTCACTAGAATTCCAGTAACTTTTCATGGGATTACAAATATAAACCTTCTGGGCCATGACAAGGACTGGGAAAGGCTCTCTATAACACATGCCAATACCTCAGCTTTTCCAGCCCCAAAACTGTGAGAAGTAAACCCATGTCAAAGCCACACAGTCTTTAATAACTTGTTATAGCAACCAGAACTCAAATAAAAGCAGACAATTTCTGCCTTCATAAAGCTTCCAGTGAAAAGGGAAGACAGACATTAATCACATATTCAAATCAATAAATGTAAAATTAAAATTGAAATAAGTGCTATGAAGAGCAGATAATTGCAGGATCTAACCAAGTCAGGAAATTCTTGTCCACAGGGTAAAGACACAAAATTTAGAAGGCATAAAGGAGGAGGAGCTTCAGCAGCTACAAGGGACAGGATGCCAGGGTCTGGACAAGTCCTGAGACAAATGTACCTAGCATTTCACTTAGAATTTCAGAAACACCAATATGCTGAGGTTTGTACCTAGGCCCCCATGTTGCTCTTCACCATGTGATGGTGAGAGGACAATCACATGGTAGAACCTCTTTGGAAGGGCATTTGGCAAAATCTAGAAATCCCATGCATATTTTCCCTTTGATCCACAAATCTGACTTCTTAAACTCTCAAAAGTGTACTTGCAATCATATGAAATAATATGTGCATGTGGTAATCTGCACTGCTATTTACTACAGTCAAATGGGGCAGCAGCTGGAGGTTCATGAAGAAAGGATTAGTGAGATACACCACCCAGACTCCAGTGCACATATAAAGGGAATTCAGACATTCTCTAATATGAGAGTGGTTGCTAGCACAGGGTGCAGGTAAAAGAACATGATGTGGAACTCATTTATGCCACCTTCCCTATGGTGTCAGCAGTGGGAAAATGAAAGTGTATGTGCCTACACATAAAGTATCCTAAAGACTCCAAGATCTGAGTACAAACCAGAACAAATGAACTAACTTCCTGTCAAGTTGGCACTGGTACCCCAAGCACACAGAGAGAAAAGTATTCTTGCCACTGGCTTTAGAATTGTTTGCCTTGGGACATCTTCTAAAGACAAAGCTCCTACAAAGACATCTCACTGTCATTTGAAGTGAGTAACATAAAAAAGGAAGCAATTTCTGCTGCTGCTCCAGGGGATAAAAGTTGAGAAAGGAACAGTGGGCCCCCAGGGAAAACCTCTGGCCTGAATGTCCAGCAATGTGGTATTTGTCTCAGATTTGAGAGTACTTGATGTCTGTTTCTGTCTTTGCTACTTTTCTCATTGCTGAGACAAAATACCCGATACCCAAAGATAAAGGAGGAAAGATTTATTCAGTTCACGTTTATAAAGGTTTTAGTACATTATTGGCTGGCTCTAAGGCAGGATGGCATAGCAAAGGGCCATCACAGAGGAGAAACAGTTCATGGTGGGCAGAAGACAGTAAAAGTAACAAGAGACCTTAGCAGCTCTTTCTGTCCCTTATATATACAGGTTACCCACCTTTAGGGCAGGTAGCACTCACACCCTTAATCCTAGTGCCCTTGATCCTAGCATTACACTATGAATCAATTCCAGTGTCAAACATTCTAGATGCAGCCACCTCTGAAAAAGCCTTGCCTATAACAGCATGAGGCTTTTGGGGAACATGTAGATACAAACCATAACATTCCACCCAGGACTCTCCAAAGACCTGTATACTTTCCTTTACCCAAAAGACATTTAGTCCACCTCCACAAGCCACCGAAGTCCTAAAGTTCAAAGGCTCCTCTGAGATTTAAGGCAAATTCTTAGCTGCAAGCCCCTGTACATATGAAAAGAAAAGTAAACACTTCCAACATTCACAAGATAGACATTTCCATTCCAAAAGTTACAAACAGGGAGCAAGTAATGGAAACAAAGCAAGACCGTAATCCAGCAAGGCAAACATTAAATCCCACAGTTCCACTTCCAGCATGCCCATCAACCTGTGGCAAGTTGTGAACTCCAAAGTGCTTGGATGGGTCTGCCCCTGTGGCACTTGTGGTGGTTGTGGCTCCCATGGCTTCTGTCTTTTGCTGGATTTGCTCATTCCTTGCAGCTTTCCTTGGATGATCCACATTCCTGGTTTATGCAACATTCTGGGGTCTCCACTACATCTTCAGCCTCACACTCACAGCTCCATACACTGCCCTCTCAGGGGCACACTACCTGGTCTCCAGGACCTGTGTCTGAAATCTGAAAGGAAGCCTTCCTGACCCAACACCTCTTGCATTCTACATGGACCTAAAACCAGTACCATGTGGATGATACCAAGGTCTACTGCCAGCTGGAGCAGTAGCCAGGCTTCCTTCCCTCTTAGCTATAGGGAGCCAATGCCTATGAACCAAATCCCTAGGAACAACTTCCCTAGGCCACTGGCATTCTGGAACATGGTGCTCTGGGCTCTCTTCTCAAAGCAGTCATTCACTTTTGCAATTTTGAGGCTGTGAAGGGTAGAGTCCTGCTGCTTCTTGTGATGCCCTCAGGCTATCTTTTCTATTCTCCTGTTCCTTCTAGGCAAGCAAGATTTCCTCCGCTCTATCTTTGCAGTCCATAGCTTTACTGGTGCTTCCTTTCTGGCCAAACTTTTAAATCATTCTGTTTTAAATCATTCTGTTGGGCTCTTTGCTCTTGATTCACAACATAAATCTGGCTAAAAAACCCTACCAGTACCCATGCCACTACTGCAACATTAGGCTACCTTGGAATTTTTTCTGCCAGATTAATTAGGACACCACCCTTAATCTCAGTCTCAGGCAAAGTCTCTGAACATAAGCAAAATGCAGACAAACTTTCTGCTAAGTCATAATACACATCATCTGGACTCCAATAGCCAATGCAATTCTTCTTTCCAGTACAAACCTCCTAACTCTGGTCTTTACTTGCAGGATTTCTATCAGCCTTCAGGTTTTCTGAGCTCTGACTAGAATCTCCCAAGTACAGTCTCAAGTGTCCCAGCTCTATTTTTTCAGCCAGCATTTCCAAATCTTTCCCAACTCTTCCCCTTCCCACAAACCCTCCCCAAAGGCTCATAAAACATCTAGTCAGGTACAGTCACAGCAACAACCCCACTTCTCTGGTACCAAATTCTGTCTTAGTTGCTTTTCTCATTGCTGAAACAAAATACGTGAGGCCCAAAGTTAAGGGAGGAAAGGTTTATTTAGTTCACAGTTTGTACAGGTTTCAGTCCATAATCAGCTAGCTTCAAGCCAGGGTGGAATCTCAGGGGAAAAAGAATTCATGGTGAGCAGAGGATAGCAAAGCAATAAGGGATGACCACAGCTCTTTCTGTGCCTTATATCGTAAGGGTGTAAGACCCTTTACACCCTTAATCGTAGCACCATTAATCCTAGCATTGCACCACGAATCAATCAACTTTAGACCCAACCACCTCTAAAAAAAGCCCCACCTACAACCACATGAGGTTTTGGGGGGACTTCTAAATACAAGCCATAACAGTTTGGGATTATCAGTGGGTCATGGATGAAGCTCGTCAGCCATCTTATTAACATCTCCTGTCCATGAAACATTGACAATACTTACCCTTCCTACTGTGGTGGTGGTGGTTTTGTACTACAGACTGAACTCAGGGCCTTCACGCTGCCATCTCCAGACTGTCTTTTATTTTGAGACAGAGTCTTGCTAACTTTCTAAATTGCCTAGGCCATGCTCCTACTTGTGATCCTTCTGCCTTAGCCTCCTAAAGTGCTGAGATTACAGACAAGCACTGTTTTCCAAGGACACCAACAGTCACCTTAGCTCCCTAGAGCAAAGCTCCTGCCCACAGTCCCAGCTGCCTTGCCCTGAACGAGCTGCCACAAGGGAACTAGAATGGAGTTGCCAGGTTTAGCAAATAAAATACAGCGTGTTCAGTTAAATTTACATTTCAGAGAAACAATGAATACCTTTGCCTTCTTTTGTGTACTAAAAGGTAACCCCTTTATCCGAAATGCAAAATTAGGCACGCAGTTTTTGAGGTACTAGCGATCAAACCCAGGTGTGCTCCAACCCTGAGCTATAAACCTAATCCTAAATTGCTCAGGCGGCCTCAAACCCAGGATTCCCCGCCTCAACCTCCTGAGTCGCTAGAATCACAGACGCCAGTGGCAGTGGTCTGCCGCACAGCATCCCTAGTTTAGGGTTTTCCTGGCTGGGCTCGGAATGGTCTCCCCACCCCTGGCCCCCAAGGGTGCTGAGAGAGGAAAGGGGGAGAGCGCGGTGAGAGAAGTGGGGAGTGGCCACGAAGGGGAACCAGTCCCCCCTCGGCCTCCCCGGGACCTACGTGACTCTCAAGGTCGGGCTGTGTAAGCCGCCTTCGCCTGGGTAGCCCAGTCCAGCGATGGGCTCAGCGCTGAGAGACGTTGGTTCCTTCTAGTGCGCGCAAGAGCATGCGCAGCTCCCCCGCCGCACTGACAGCCGCGTCCCGGTGCTAGGCAACGGCGGCGCGCGCTGGGAGGCGGGGTCGGGGCTCGTGGCTGAGGCCCTGCGCGGGTGAGCTGGGCCTGCCCGGGGCAGGGGCGGCGTGGAGCCGGTGGGGGCTGTGGCGTAGGGTCCCGAAGGCGCGGAGCTGAGCAGGAGCCCGCGGGGGGCGGCTGGCTGGGCCGGGACGGGCCGGGACGGGACGGGACGGGCGGGAGCCCCGCGCGGGGCCGCCGAGCTCTGCCTGGCTCTCAGAGCCCACCTGGCGCCCCACCCTCCTCCGAGGCCCCGCAAGTGCTGGGCGGCTCCCGGTGCAGGTCCCGCCCGGGTCGTGCCGGCTGACAGGCACCGCGGTGCCCTGCGGGAGAGGCCTCAGGGAATGCGGCAGAGTCCTGAGTCCGGGAGGGCACAGCTGCGGGGAGGAAGCCGAGCCTCACTGATCTGGAGGTGCGAGCCGAGCGCCCCGGGGGTACGGGGTTCCCAGAAACCCCCCGGGCTTAGCGCCCTGCTTGCTGCGCGCAAGGTCCAGACCGCGGCGGCCCGGCGTGAGCAGACCCTCGGGGAGCTTGGGAGCTCTGGTGTACCCCGCTCCCGCGCCCTCTAGCGCCCGAGGTGGTGGGGAGCGGCAGGTGATAGAGCCCTCGCTTTGACCCCGCCTCTCCGCCGGCACTGAGCTCTTGCTCCGAAGGAGATCTTACAGCGGAAGGCCGCTTTAGAGAAGGTGCTTCCTGCTCACACCTAAGCAGCAGGGGTCAGCGAAGGGGCAAGTCCTGGAGCTGCGAAACTGGCCATTCCGCCCTCGGCAAGTATAGGTCTATGGAGATAACGGCAAAGTCGATCTGCACTTTCTGGTCACTTGGGCATTGTGCTAAAATGCCAGTTTAGATCTGTGATGGAACCTGAGAATCTGCCCTTCCGGAGGGTCAGGTGACAAGGAGCAAAATGGATGTGGAAGACTGAAGGTTAAACAGTCCAGGACTGTAATCCCAGCACTCTGGGAGGTTGAAGCAGAAGGATTTCCAGTTTGAGCCCAGCGGGGGAGATTTAGCAATTTACTGAAACCCTGTCTCAAAAAAAAAAAAAAAAAAAAAAAAAAAAGTAAAAAGGGCTAGAGACATAGCTCAGTGTGAAGCCTGTGGGCTCATTTCCCAGTAGTGAAGAGAAATAAGTAAATAAATAAATGCTTTTTTATCCAGGTCATTGTAGGCCATAGGGCTACATGGACAGAGATATTGCCCACCTAAATCCCCACCCTCCACCCCTACCGGGGAAATGTAGTGCTTGAAACACTAGTGCATTCCAGAGGTCAGAAATCCAAAATGCATCTCATAAGGCAGGGCCTATGCCTACTGCAGACCACTTCCTTGCCCTTTTCTGCTTCTAGATGTGACCTTTGGCTCATGGCTTTGAATCACACACCTCTTCCCCTCTGATCCGTCACCACATTGTCTTCCCTGCTTTACCTTAAGGTGTACCTCTTATAAAGACCCTTTTGATTACACTGTACTGCTCGCATAACCCACATCTCATCTCAGTGTCCTTAATTTGATCACATCTTCACAGTCCCTTTTGCTACATACAATAACATGTCCATGGGTCTCCGATATTATGGCATGGACATCTTTGGAAGCCGTTATTTAGCCCTAGAGCAAGGACATTCTCTTACTCAATTAGATTTATTTAAAATCAATGAAGTTACTCTTCATAAGTTCCATTGTGTAACTTACAATTTGCATTTAATCTATCTAATTTTACCAACAATATTCTTTATACAATTCTTTTTTTTCTAATCTAGGATCATGTATTAAATGTATTTTTTTTTTTCTTTTTGAGGCAGGTTCTCTCTATGCAATTCAAACTGGCCTTGAGCTTACTTTGTAGCTCAGGCTGGTCTCAAACTCGCAATGATCCTCCTACCTCAGCCTCCCAAGTGCTGGGATTATAGGCGTTAAATGTATTTTTGTGGCTGTATCTTGGTTACTTTCTTGTTGCTGAGACAAAATACCTGACCCAAAGGGGTTTTGTTGTTGTTGTTGTTGTTTTGCCTTTTTGAGACAGGGTCTTGCTGTGCAGTTCAGGCCAGCCATGAGCCCACTTTGTACCCCAGGCTGGTCTCGAACTGGCAACGATTCTCCTGCCTCAGCCTCCCGAGTGCTGGGACTACAGGCATGTGCCACCACTCACGGCCTGACCCAAAGTTAAAAAAGGAAAGGTTTATTTAGCTCAGGGGCATCACAGATAAAAACAGTTCCTGGTGTGGCAGGCAGAAGGCAGCAAACAGGAGCAGCAGCAACCATCCTGCCTTTCCCTTTTATCCTATCCAGGCTTCCAGCCTTTTGAGTGGTAACAACCACACCCAGGGTAGGCCTTCCATTATCCACACCTTTAATTTCAACAACACATCCTAAATCCAGCCCCCTTCGAAAACCTCCATGACCCCATGAAGCTTGGGGTGTGGGTGTAGGACATCTAGGTACAAGCCATAGTAGGCTGCTTAGTCTCCTTTCATCTTTCTTTCTCATGATCTTGACAGTTGGAAGAGTACAAATGAGTTGCAGACTTTCTCAAGTTGGCTTTGTTTGATGTTAATTTTGCATTTGGACAGAAAGGTGTTATATTCCATAAGCAGGAAATTCCATCAGGAAGCATGTGATGTCACCTTGTTCCTTTATTGGTGATGTCTAATTTGATCACTTGGCTAAGATAGTGTTTGCCTGACTTTGCCACTGTCAAACTTTTGTATTTTAGCTTCCTTTTTATCTAGGAAGAAACTGAGACTCCATGAACTATACCTTTTCCCCCATTTGTCTACTTACTTGTTTTCATATGCATTTATGGATAAGTATTGTGTTCTATGAGTTATAATCTGTGAAAGTTGTCATAATCAAAGTAGAGTCACTCATGCCAACTCCTAACAGTCCAACAATAAAGTTTTAAGCTGATCATAGGGGACTCTCTTCCATGTATGCATGGAAACAAGAACTACCACAAAATTCTAGCGAACCATGTCCTCACACAAAGGCCACTGCGGTTGTTACAGTTTAGATCTGAAATGTCTCTCAGCAGTCTCATGTGTTTGTAATAATCATGGGATGTTATACTAATCAGCAGAGTCATCCATTGATGAGTTCCAGCTGTTTATTATCTCCACTAATCATCTAATTATTATGAGGCACATAGTCTAATTTTTCTTCATCTGATGAGTTAGTCCTCGTATGTGTAAACCAAGGCTCAGAGAGACTGAGCAACTTGGTAAAGATCACACAGCTATATGTGGCAGCTTACCAGGACTGGAATTTGGTTGATCTTAGAGTCTGTGTTCCTAGTACTCTGCCTTCCTGTTACGCCCAACTTAATGTCCTAATTTGGGCTACATTACCTCTTTCTCTTGAAATTTGATTAATAGTAAATCTGGGGGCACCAACACATTTTAAGTAGGTTCTTGCTTAAGCGCTAGAGTAAAATATTGTGTTAGCAGTGGCTACAGGGCAAAGCATTTTCCTTTTCTTTCCTCCCCAGAGCGTTTCCATGGTCCCTGATAAAATGTTATCTATGTCATAGACTGTAGTTTCCAACCTCACAGTAGTCCTCAGATGGATGTTTAGAGCCACACCTACTCTGTCATTTTCTTCCTACTCAAGGTTAGAAATGTGTGGGTAAGGTAAAAGCTTTAGCCACCTCTAACCCAAGCTCCTCTAACTGGTGACCCCTGAGATCTATTGTCTGACCTAATCTAACTGAAGAGCTTTAGAAAAAAGTTCATTTGAATATAAGCATGATTGGGAAGTATGTATTCATTTGTTCTTTTGACAAGGATAATGTTATGGTGTGGAGCTTAAAGTCTCCGAAAGGCCATGTGGCAAAAGGTGTGTCTGTGGCAGCACTGGGAGGTGGTGAGACCTTTAAATGGAAGGACTCTAAGTCATTGGGGATGTGTTCTTGAAGGGTTGTGTGGGACCCTGACCCCTTCCTATTTCTCTTTGCTTCGTGGCTACCATATGATGAGCAGCTTTGCTCCACCACATATAGCACCATACTGGAGTCTTCATCACAGTGGAACCAATCATGGGCTGAAAGCCCTGAAGCTATGAACCAAAAGCAAGTCTTTGCACTTTGAAGTTGATTTGTCAGTGATAGAAAGGTTAGTAACAAAATTGATGCCAAGAAGTAGGGTAATTGTTGTGATTATCCTTCATGATATGTTTCAGGTGCCTTTGGAACTGATTTTCAGGAGGAACTTAGAAACATTTGGAGAAGGAAGCTAGAAGCACTTCGAATGACATAAGCAGAACTTGTTGAGAAATTCTGGTAAGGCTCCGAAGACCAGAATGCTGATAGGAATGGAAAGAGCAAGTCCCAGACTTGTGAGATTTCAGATGGGAATGAAATTATTGGGAATTAGATTAGAGACCAGGCATTCTGACAAACAACTGGTCTGCATTTTGTCTGAATCCCTGAGACTTTATATTAGCCAGCATTTAAAGATGATGAGCTAGTTTTATTTGGCAGAGGTTACTTCTCAGCAGCAAAACATTCAGACAGTGGTCATACTGATGGCTGATTTTAGCCAGATTTATACTAAGAATGAGGAGCAAAAAGCAAAACAGAAATATTTGAAAAGCTTGCAGTTTTTCCATAAAAGGAGTCTGAATAAAGTTGTGACCAAGGAGAATGGTCACTAAAGAATTTAATGCCTCTTTAAAAAATCAAGTACTTTACATGGGGAGAATAAGAAAGATGCTTTGGGGGTACCTCAGGAATCAGTAAGACCACCCCCTTCTGTAGCAGGGTCAAACCCTGAAGTGGTCTGCTATTACAGGGCTACCTAGGAAATTATTTTACTGAAATTTGTTTCCCTATGCTCATCCATGTAGGGAAACACAGGGAAACATAGGCACTCAGAGATCGCTGCAGCCATGCTCCAGGTAGGCCCAGCTACTGCCTGAGCTGGAGGTTTTATAGGCATGTAGAGTGCAAGAGTTGTAGGGTCATGAAGACTTTCATTATGAAAGGAATGCCTGAGAGACCAAAATGTGTGGCAAAATTGGAGTCCCTGTGAGCAGCCCGTATAGGGCAATGTGTGAACCTGTGAGAGTATAGTTGAAGCTATAGTGGAGGCCCAAGGAAGTTAAGAGAAGCTAGAGATGTAGAATGTGGTAAGCAGAGCCAGCCCAAAAGAGAGGCCATTAGGTCATGTGCATTGCAGCCAGCAAGGCCATAGAGTTGCCCAAGCTTTTTGGAGCTTAATTATGCCACTGTGTGCCCAAATATTGGACATAAAGCTCCAGGGTTTAATGTTTTTCCTGCTGGGTTTCAGTTTTCCTTGGCCTAATTTCTCCTTAATATCTTCTTACTCCTTTTTAGAACGTGAATGATTACCCTGTACCATTGAATCTTAGAATGTAACTTGGTCTCTTAGTCACTTTTCTGTTGCTGAGACATGAGACCCAAAACCCACAACTTGAAGGAGGAAAGGTTTATTTTGGCTCACACATGGCCAACAGGGTCCAAGGCAGAAACAGGATGGCAGAGGGGCACAGCAGAGGAAAAGGTGCTCAATCCATGACAACCAGGAAGCAGAGAGAGAGGAGAGGGGTGAAGGGCCAGAATATACCACTCAAAGCAAGGCCCCTAGGGACCACCTCCAGCCAGGCCCCACTTCCTCATAACACATTCAGCTATGAATTCATCAATGGGTGAGTCCACAAATAAATTTAGCACCTCATGACCTGATCACCCTCCAAGCATGTGAGACTTTTGAGGCATACTTTAGATTTAAACCACAATACATGGTCTTTTGATTGTTATAGGGTCTCACAGTTCACATTTGCCCTGATTCTCAGAGGACACTTACAACTTTGACTTTTGAGCAGTGCTAACACTGTTTGGGGACTCTTGAAGTTGGACTGAATGTATGTTACATTGTGAGCCTTTGGGAGCTGAGGTGGAATGTTATGGTTTGGATCTTGAATGTTTCCCAAAGGTCATGTGCTAAACACTTCGTCCCCTGACTATGACACTATTGGGAGCTGGCTGAACCTTTAAGAGGTGAGACCTAGTGAATGAAAGCTAGGTCACTGTGCTTGTACCCTTGAAGGAGATTGTGGGACCCTGGCCTGTTCCTTTCTCTGCTTCATAGCCACATGACATCAGCTCCTCTGCCCTCTGTGGGTTCCCTACCATGATGTTTTGCTTCCCAACAGGCCAAAGGAACTGGTCCAAGCAACCATGGACTGAAACCATGAACCAAGCAAATGCTTCCTCCTTCTCAGTTGATTATCTCATTTTTAGTCATACTAATGGGATGCTAGGTAATGTAGATGGAATCTAGAGACATTCATATTTATGCGAGAATAAATCAAAGTTGGTTATAATGCATCTATTTTAAAAATCGATTACATTTGTGAAATACTCTCTCTGTTTTGCTATTTCCTAGGTCCCCAAGATGGAAACTGATTACTTGAAAAGGTGCTTTGGAAATAGCCTGTCCCAGGCACTGGCAGAGGTGGCACAGGTTCAGCCCAGTGACCCAATAGAGTACCTGGCTCACTGGCTTTATCACTACAGAAAAATTTCAGCAGGCAAACAAAAGGTATGTTTGTGAGCTGGGTCTGCTTAGTGAGGGCTCAGCTTCCATGGCGTAACTTGAAATCCAAGATAAGAGCCTGGAGCTGGCTCGTGGAGTTGTGTGGTTCATCCACTTCGCAGGGATGGTTTAGGGCCCAACTATCTCTGGAATGTGGACAGTGTGAGGGCTAAAAGCAGAGCAAATGCAGCGGGCGGTAGAGTTGGTGGGTGTGGACTCCCACTAGACTAATACTAGCTACAGGAGGAAGTTAAGTAGGCTTAAGGGTACCAGATCTGTCCCCAGCGCTGGGAAGGGACTGTTTCTAAGGCTTTTCTGTGCTGACTGGATTCGACTGTGGCATCACCCCAGAATAGGCAAGAGAAGATCCAGCTGCAAGAGGAGTATCATCGTAGCCTGAAGGAAAAGGAAATCATGGAAATGATGAAACAAGAAGAGTATCAAATCCAACAGCAATGTGCAGAATGTCACAAGGTAAGAGGCCAGACTCACCAGGGCCAGTGATCGACTCAGACCATCCACAGGACAGTCTGGGCATAGCACACTGAGGTTCCCTTTGCCCATTTTCCCTCCATAGTCACACATTTATATCAAAACCAATCTTACAATTCTTATGAATGAAAAAAGGGACGCATTAGAAGATAGGTTCATTTTAGATTTCAGGAAACACCGCTGATGATACTGGCTTAAAAATTCAGATTTTTTTTTTCAGTACAGGGGATTGAACCCAGAGACACTGTACTACTAAGCTACATCTCCAGCAAACTTCTCTTCATTTGTTTGGTTGGTTGGTTGAGTTTGTTTTATTTTTGAGCAAGGTCATGCTGACTTCTAACTTGCAGTCCTCCTGCCTCAGCTTCCCAAGTAGCTAAGATTAAGGGGTACACCACCACCCTTGGGCCAGATTTTTTTTAAATTTGTTCACCTAGGGTAAATGTTTTTTAATATAAGGTTCTTTGAGCCCTTTTCAACAACTATTCAGTATTTTTCGGAAACTAAGTATAGTTGTTATTAGTTTAACTTCAAATATACATCTTTATTTAATATCTATTAATTATTATATCCTGTTTACTTATATATCAAGCCTCAGATGCCTCCTGTATGCTGTTGTAACAATGAATATAAACTCAGGGGTTTAATATTAACTCAGAATAGTTGGAAAAAACTCAGCATTCAGCCATCTGACAAGCACATCGTTTATCTCCCATGATCTTTTCTACAATCTCCTAAAAAAAAGTCTTTTTCCATTTTATGCTTTCTACAAAGTACATGATCCCTAATTAGAAAAATCACTTAATTAGAGTGTTGGGCTTGGTATCTGATTTCTTCTTCACTGTCACTGTATTCCGTGTGTTAAAATCTTGAATGCAGTTCTATCAATTCACTAAGTTTTGCTAGTTTCCAAAGCCAATTTTGAAAACAGAAATATTAAGCTCAGTTACACTTATACTATTATACTCAATATCCTCATAAGCTATAGATATATTTTTTAAGGCTGAATATGTTACAAAAATGTGAAATCAAGAGAAAGATGGTTTAGACTATTTTTTGGCAGTGGTCATAGGGAACTCTTCCTTGGGATCCACTCTTTGAGCAGTTGTTTGGGGAAGGCTAAAGTGAAGGTCATTAAACAAACCTTATACCACCTTGCTGCCCTCTCTAATCATCTCTGTCGTTGTTAATAAAAGTGTGCAAGTATGGAAAGACTCAAAAACTCCCAACCTCGTCTTAATTTGCTTTATTAAAGCAAACTTTGCTCAAGTATTTTATATTATTCTTTTGTGTTGCACTGAGAAGCTACTGCACCCTGTAGCAAATTCCATAGTAAGACAGATGAACTGGGAGTGCTAGTGCATGTGCTCCTGTAACTCCAACAGCTGGAGGGAAATATGGGCTTCGGAGAGACAGTCTGGGAGGCTGTAGAGGTGGGATTGCAAGTTTGAACCCAGCTATGGCACCTTAGTTACTTCGCAAGATGCTGTCTCAACAAAAAGCCCTGAGGATGTAGGTCAGTGTGCAGGTCCTACATTCAGTCCCCAGGAATTCAAACAAAATGAAGCAAAACAAACAAAAAACAAAGAAAGAAAAGAAATGTTAGATAAGTAAAAGGTATACCTTCTCTTTCTTTCTTTCTTTCTTTCTTTCTTTCTTTCTTTCTTTCTTTCTTTCTCTCTTTCTTTCTTATGTGCTGGGGATTAAAACTAGGGCCCTCACTACATCCCATGATCCTTCTGCCCCAGCCTTCCAAAGTCCTAGGATTATAGGCAGTGGGTCCCATCATGCCTGGCTAGGTATGTCATTCTTTTGCCAGTGTGAGGCAAAGGCCAGTGTAAAGGACAACAAAATTAAAGCCAGTATTTTACCTAAAATATGCTCGAGTTCTTAATATTACACAATAATCACGTGCAAGCTGTGGTTGTGGAAATTGATTCCATGTGTTAGGAGGAAATAAACAAAGAGAACTCAAGAGTTAAAACCGAATAGACTGCCACATCGTTGAAAGACAGAGCCACATCGTTAACGTGTGAGTTATTTTCCAAGTAAATTTGAAAGAGCTAGGTAAATGGCAAAGAGGTAGAGCTATCAAAATCATACAAGATTCTAGGTTCTAGTTTTTGGTTTATGCAAGATGAATTACAAACAATTCCTTGTTATTGATCAGTTTTACATTTTGTCTCTAGTACTCATATACCTGGCTTCAAACAGGCCCAGGCCTGGTTTCAGATGTGTGGCATCAGTTTCTTTGCACATACCCCATGCTTTGCAAAGTTTTTCTTTGCTTTCACCTTAGCAAGTTTATAAGTGCCCCACATTGAATATTACTAGTCTAGTGGTCATGTCTAATGGACAGGAACAAGCCAGGTGTGGTAGCACACAGATGTAATCCCAGAACTCTGGAGGCTGAGGCAGGAGGATCACTGTGAGTTCGAGGCCAGCCTGGGCTACAGCGTCAGTCCAAGGCTAGCCTGATCTGCAGAGTGAGACCCTGTCTCAAAATGGGAAAGAGAGAGGGAGGGAGGGAGGGAAAGAGAGAGAGAAAAAAAAGAAAGTAAGAAAAGAAGAAAAAGGGAAGGGAAGGAGAGGGAAGGGGAGGGAAAGGAAAAAGAAACAGCATGCTAGGTGTGGTTGGAATCGTGTTCAACTATAGAAATCATTAAGGGCTTTACAGAGGAGGTAGCATTTGAGTCCAGCCTATAAGAGAGCTGGCAAAGACTGTCTTGTAATGATTTCTGTTCATTAATTAGGGAAGCTTTGAGTAAGTAAATCATAATTTTATTTCTAAGGCAAAGAGCAATTCCTTACTGTTTATGGAGATCTGAATCACACAAATGTTTTACAATATATTTTCAGAGCATTAGTCTGTTGGGAGCAGCTGAAGCTGGAAGGTAATTGCACATGCAGAATAAAGCCAGCCCAAGAACATGGGAATTCCTCGAAGCACATAAATAAACAAGCTGTTGTAGCTTGTTAACTGATTGCTGGGCAGGGAAGCAGAAATTAACAAACCTCTCAAGGGTATAAATAAATGCTCCACTGTTCTTAGGCAGGTCCCCTTCTCCACTCAGGAGAGAGAGGACCTCCGCCTGACCCCAGCTTTTTGTCTCTTTTCTATTTTTCCTCATTCTCACCACTGCTCCTTCCCTGGAGTATAGCAAGCACCCAACAGATGCATACATCAGTCAAGTGTTTGCTGCTTCTACTCAGCACTGGGAAACTAGCAAGGTGTTTCAGATAATGTAGGCAGTGCCCTGCAGGGCTTTCCCATTTTTCCCTCTTAAATTTTTGAAAATATTTTATGGATGTTTCAAGTCCTTATCCACCAACCCTGCCTGTGTTATTTCCAGGTCTCTTTCTGTTGAGTAACTTTTCTCTAGCTTATGACTCAAATTTTCCTACTTTTTCACATGTCTTATAATTTTTGCTTGTATACTGAACACTGTAGATGATAATTTGTTAGGGGTCTGGATTATGCTATTCTACCTTAGAAGATGTTGAGTTTGTTCTGTCAGGAAGTTAAATTGTTGGTGAATCACTTTGGTCCTAGCATGTTTGGTTTCATGGTTTATCAGCATGTCTGTTTTAGTTTTGTTCTTAGTCTTTGGCATAAAACTAGCAGTATTGTGTTCTATTCATTCCTGAATAACTACTACCAACTTCTTTGCTTTTCTTTTCTGTTTAGGAACAGATTTATACAGAGAAGGCCATGTTCATGCAGGAGGACACAGACCTTTCTGAGAAGGAGGCCCTGGAGCAAGAATCCTTGCCAGGTACTTCTGATATGATTACAGAAGTACCTTAGTGGAGCCCTACTACAGAGTCAGCTGGCCAAACTTCAGCAGAGTGTTGACACTCCACAAGAAATAAACTTTGAGAAGATGTTTGTTTCCTCTTGAAACTGTTCATGAAACACCTCCTCACTCCAAATCCCCTCCTTAGAGGATCAGAATGGAGAGAATGCAAAGGACCATTCTCTTAACCCTGCAAGCCAAGAAAATGACCAGCAAGAGGAGCTCTCGCTTAAATCAAGACTTGAGGGATGATGAAAGAGGTGTCTGAAGGTTCTCTCCAACCCAAGGACTGGTCTGCTAGCCAGGAAACCCCTAAATCATGAGAAAATTTGCACAAGTTAGAGGATAAAGTCATCTCACAATAAGGATCAAATCAAGTGACAAAACTGATAAGACTTGTTTTTTCCTCTTGTTTAATTATTTTGTTTTTTTAGATTATACAGTAAAATGCTTCCCTGAGCTCATGTCTTAACTTAGCTGCTTTTTGTAATCAGGTCTCTTGGGATATTTGCACATGTCCTGGAGACTTCCTGTGTCACTAATAATAGGTATTTTTTTTCATTGCATGTTACCACTATTTTTATGTTTTACTGTGATAAAACATACATAACATAAAATGTACTTTCTACCATTTTTGAATTTACAGTTCAGTATATTAAGTGCAATTATGTAGTTGTCAATCATCACCAATCACTGCCAAAACTTTTCATATTGCAAAGTTAAAATTTCAGACCCATTAAGTAATAACTCCCATTTCACCCTCTGCCTATACCCTAGAAACTACCATTCTGCTTTTCTGTTTCTATGATACTGACTGTTCTGAGTACCTCATATAAGTGGAATCATACAGTATTTATCTTTTTGTGACTTACTTCATTTAGTATAATGTCCTCAAGGTTCATCCACATTGTATCATGTGCCAGGATTTCTTTTTTTTTTTTAAGGCTGAATCATATTCCGTGCTATGTATGGACCACATAGAATGCCGGAATCTGCATTTGACCACCACACTGTGTGCCCTTGTGTGATGTGTGGAATGTGTGGAAAAGGGAACTGAAAGGAAGTTGGTCACCCATGAGGTGAGGATACTACAAGTGTGGGAAATCCAAGATAGTGGCCAGCTTTCTAGCTTGAGTACCATGGGGCAGGGTGATTTTTCTTGCAGTAAAAGACGAAGAAGAGCATGTGTGGACATGCTGAGTATGTGGCACCTATGAATAGAACAGTTCTACACATACCCAGCAGGAAGCCATTATAAACAAGATGTTTAAGAGAAGGTGAGAGCTTCAAGGGCCATCTTCCTACTGTATATACAACTCTTCAGAAAGTGATAAGCTGCATCAGAGAAATAATACAAAAGAGCACTCAAGGAACTGGGAGGCATTCAGTGGCCAGAGTGGATGAGAACCATGCGGTGGAGGAATGTCCCTCTGGGCAAGGATGGGAGACTCCAGGAGGGAACCACCTATGGAACAGTGCAAAGTGATACATACACTAGGAGAAACAGAGTTTGCCACACCAGGCCACTGGCAGGAAGTGAAACATAGAGCTACAGACTGCAAAGACAGAGGATGGGAAAGAAAAATTTCCCCATAAGCACAGGAACAGTTTCACTGCAAAACATCCCCACCTTGTGAGCTTTCAGAACAAAGACAAACTTCTCAAGCTCATGCCACTTCTTTTTAACTGAATGCCCAAATTAAGAACACCTCTGAATTCACAGATCAGCAAAAGTCTCCAGACAGTGGCCAGTGTCCTCATGTGTAACATCGAAGAAAGACAAGATCCCTTGGTTGGTATGTGGGATCCTCCCTCTGCATGTCACTGCTCACTCATGACTAAGGCTGAACTTCTTGGAACAGCACACAAAGCCCTTCTTGACGGGAGTCCTGCCAACCTTTCTAGTGTGTTTACTCACCTCCTGCCCTGACCCTGCATGTCAGCCACACAGAGTAACCTTCGAATGCCCAGATTTATCACGCCTTTGCCCCACACACTTCCTCTTTCCACATCTCATTCCCTTTCTATATGCTGATGCACCACTTAAATAGGCATCAGCTGAAAGGCACTGTCAGGACTCTGCATGCCAGGATCTCAGCTGGCCCATGGTGGCTCCCTTCCCTACCATGACAGAGGGAGAGGCTGAAGCGGAGACTTACAGCAAGGGAGGGTGGGTATAGGGGCTGCTCTGGCAGCTCAGTCACCCCAAGGGTCAGGCCTGCTGCAGCATCTGCCCTCTGCTCTCTTGGATGCTATTGAAATAAACACCGTCGATCCAAGCAACTCTCTGCCTGTATGATTCTTAAATAAATGAGGCTGTTTCTACTTACGTATTTCATTGACTTTGTAATTCTGGATTATATATTGTTGAATTGTCATGTAGTTGTCCATGAACTTAAAAAACGAGTTAAAAACTGAACTGAGAATAACTAACATTAATGTTCATAAACATGAAGAATTAAATAAGAGTGTTAAGCCACACATAGTGGCACACACCTGTAATCTCAGCTACTGAGGACACTAAGGCAGGTGGTCACTTGAGCCCTGGAGTTCAAGGGCAGCCTGGGCTGCATAGCAAGACAGAAGCGGGCGGGGAAAGGAAGAAGGGGAGGAGAAGAGAGAAAAGGAGAGAGAGGGCAAAGGAAGAGAGTAGAGGGGAGAAGGGAAAGGGAAGAGAGAGAGAGGGAGAAAGGGGAGGCGAGGGGAGGAGAGAGAAACAGAGAGGGATAATAGCTGTGTGTGGTGACGCATGCCTCTAATCCCAGCACTCTGGGAGGCTGAGGCAAGAGGACCACAGGTTTGTTCCCTCCCAGGGCAATTTAGCAATTTAATGAGACCCTGTCTCAAAATAAAATATAAACATCGTATTATCTCCATAGTTTAAGAACCTGAAGGAGTAAATAAAACCTGAAAGGTACAATAGATAATGTGAAAGGGAAAGAAACTGCTCAAGTGGAATAACAACTGGGATCAGAGAAAAGAAACAAGGAAGGGGCGCTGGGGATTTAGCTCAGCGGCAAAAGCGCCTGCCTGGCAAGCGCAAGGTCGTGAGTTTGGTTCCCGGTACCGGAGAAAAACCAAAAAAAAAAAAGAAAGAAAGAAACAAGGAAGGGGAAAATATGTATATACAAGATAGCTAAGATAATTGTACTACTAATTTCTATTGGTTTATTGAAAAGAACAGCTAATTGTTTGATTAATCTTGCATGCCTATATCTGGGTATCTGAGTAATCACTTTAAAGATAACAATATGTAATACAACAACCATTGTTAATTTCCTATCACCTTGTTTAGAAATTCTGTATCATTTTTATTGTTTTTCTGTTGTTTTGCTTATGTCTTTGTTATTTTGTTTTTGTTCTTTTTAAAATAAAATAAAAATATAAGAAGGGGTGGGGATGAAGCAGTATAACTCAGTGAAGGCCTTAGCGTGAATCATCAGTATGACCCCAAAAAGAAAGAAAGAAAGAAAAAGAATAGTATCAGCCTAATACCTGGGTGTTGTGGCACATACCTATAATCCCAGCACTCAAGAGGCTGAAGCAGGAGACGTGCCATGAGTTCAAGACCTGGGCTACATGGTGAGTTCAAGGCTACCCTGAACTGAGTATCAAAACCCTAATTCAACCTCCCCCCATAAAAGAGTACTAAGCTAAAATGCAAGAATTTGTATTTTTGCTCAATTATTTCTTTCACTGTCTTTAATTCCTGATTGTGTAGGATTCTGCTGGAGAACCTATGGTTATAGTTACGTGTGTGTGTGTGTGTGTGTGTGTGTGTGTAGGAGAGAAACATTTTCTTGACCTCTAGTGTCCTGTTGCTCCTTCCTGAGTGCTCAGCTTTACAGCCCCACTGCCTACTGTAAGTCTCACAATCTTGTTCTCCCCTAGATGAACCAGGACCCCTTAGGAGAAGAAAATTCCCTCCAGAGTCCAGGAGAGCAAAAGATGACCCTGAGGCATTGTGTGATCCTTGTCAGAGATCAAGGTTGTTTGAAGACCTGGGATAGAATGATTAGCCTGAAAGAGAGGTTACTGGTGGTTGAATGCTGACACTGTCTCAGTGAGAAACCTGTGTTAGCTATTAACTGGTGTCCTTTGAGCCTGTGGAATCCCCTGAGTGTGTGCTGCCCCTCAGAGAGTGTGAACAGCAAAGGTCCTGGAACAGTGGTTCTCAAGCTGTTCTGTGTGCTCCACTCTCCTGGGGAGTTGGGCAGCTACATGGCCAATTCTCATTCACTGGATCTGGTTTGGGGCCTGAAACTCTGCATTTGTACCACTGTTCTTGGTGCCCACACAGCTACAGCATCCACAGACCTTGCTTAAGTAGCAAAGAACTAGAGCAGTATTTCTCAGCCTTGGTACTACCAACATTTTGGAACTTCTTTATTGTAATGGGCTTTCTCATCTATCGTAAGATGTTTAGTAGCATCCAGAGACTCTGCTCCTTAAATGCTGACAACACACACACACAAACATACACCTGAGTAGAAACAACCAGAAATATCTCCTGACATTACTAAATGAAAAGTACCCTGTGGTAGGGTGACCAATATTCCAGTTTACCTGGCACTCAGGTTTCGAGGAAAAACATTCAGAGTTAAAATCCAGAAAAGTCCTGGGAAAGCCAGGACAGTTGGTCATTTTACTTGGGGACAAAATTGCTTCCCTTTGAAGGCTAGTGTGCTAGACATTATGTTACCCACTTTCTAACGTGGGTTACTTTATAGCTTATTTTATAAGTGATCATTTTGCTTTTGTGAAAAATGCACTGTTGGGAGGAAAATATTTGTTGAGCAAGATAATGAAATGCTATAATTTGCACAAATGATTCTTCAGGGGATTACTATGGTAATGGAAACAATAATTGCTTTATTTTCTGCCTGAGTTTCAAGAATATTTTCTTTTAAAAAATTAGACCTAGTGGGCTATTAGGAGAAAAGATTAAACCTTAGGTCAGAGATACATTAAAGGAATACATCTGAATGGCTTCAGACTTGGACTTTACTAGAGAGGGTGTTACATCCACACACAAGAAAGGTATGTAGCTGATTACTCATACAGTAGGCTTTGGGGAAAAGCAAAATGCCATCCCAAGCTGGCCAGAGAATGGCTTAAGACAAGACAAAGAAAGGAGACTAATAACAGAAAGGGGCCAGTCAGAAAAAGGAGACCAGTCACAGAGAGGACACCAGTCACAGAGAGGAGACCAGTGAAAGAGAGGAGGCCAGTCAGAGAGACGAAGCTAGTGACAGACAGGATGGGCAGTAACAGAGAAGGCCTATCACAGGGAGGGGGCCAGTCACAGAGAGAAGACCAGTCACTGATAGGGGAGCATTCACAGCGAGAGATCAGTCAGAGAAAGGATGCCAGTGAGAGAGAGGAGGTCAGTAACAGAGAGTTGGCCAGTGACAGAGAGGAGTCCAATAACAGAAAGGAGGTCAGTCACAGAGAAGAGGCCAGTGACAGAGA